TTGCTATCAAAATACAATGATTGGATGGCCCTTATCAGTTCGCCATCTATCCCGTATGCACGAAGGCATGTCTACAGACTGTTGCGTGGGATCCAGCCACAGGCTTTTTCTAGGTCCACAGAACAGATGTACACCGGACGGACGTACTTCCACGATTTGTCAATAATCTGGCACGGGACAAATATATGATCAGAGGTTCTTCGACCGCGCTGGAAATCACTGGTCTTCTTGTATCTCGAAGTCAGTTATTTCGCGGCACATGCTCTCTAGCACCTTTGCGCAGACTTTGCCAGGGAGGATCAATAACATAATGCCCCCTGTAATTTGTGCATTCTTTGTGGTCTCCCTTCCTGAATACGGGTACAATAACTTCTGTTCTCCAGTACGCTGGTGTCTTTCCCGCTGTCACCGCAGTTTGAGAGACATGTGTACGCCAGCACATGCCTTGTTCGCCTAATGCCTTGAGCATTTCAGTGCAGCTTTTTTCAATTCCAGCAGCCTTTCCATTTTTCAAACTTTTTACAGCTTGTGTAATTTCGTCTACAGTGATAGTAATATCTGCATGCTGCTCCGCAGGCGAGTCTTCCTGCGGTTGCGCGGGGTTAAGGAGATCCTCAGAGTACGCCCTCCATCGCTGAAGAATGTCATCATGCATGGTAAGAGAGTATCCAGACCAGTCCTTCAAGACTCTGAGACTGCTCTTGTTTTCACCTCAGAGCCGGCGAATGCTCTGCCAGAATATTTTGTTTGCCGTGTGGAAATTCGACTCCAATACCTCATCGAATTTCTGCCAGGAATCAGCTTTGGCTTTCGCTGCCGCCTTGCGAGCCCTTGCATGTCGCACGCGAGTAGAATTCTCTTTGTTTCCGAGCCATTTCGTGAACACTGCTTTCTTCTCTTTGACTGCCAGTTGCACCTCTCGTTTCCCCAGGAAGATCTTTTCTGACCTACAGGAGGCAGGCCAAGCCCTTTTAATCCGCTGCACTCGGCAGCGGTTTCGAGTATGCCGCTCTTAAACAGCTGACACTCGGTTTCCATATGAGTGGTCATCACCGGGAACTGTTCAAGCTGTGATGCGATGTTGTTTGCAAATTTCGCTCTCGTGTCCACCGAAAATAATGTTTCCCATTTGATTCTACATTTGCGTCTGCCATCAGATCTCCATTTTTACAACGCAGGGTGCCAGCAACAAGGTTGTGATCAGTTGATATCTCTGCGCCCGCTGTTAGTGCGAACATCCATTATAAAGCGTCTTAAGTCAGAGGATACGATTGTCAGATCGATCATCGACTTCTATGGACAAGCTTCCCGCTACCATGTGTACTGATGCACTTTTCGATGCTCGAAGAAGGTGTTCATAATGGACAATCCGTTGTTTGCACAGAACTGCAATAACTTCATGCCGTTATTGTTGAGGTCGTTAGGGCCGTTTTTTCCAATCACGTCGTTCCACTTTTCATCGTCTACTCCGACGTGCGCATTAAAGTCGCCCATGAGTATTAGGGACTTTATATTCGGCACTTCGGACAGAGTACACTGCACTTCCTCAAGGAAGGTATCATATTCTCCCTCGAAATTGGGCGCATAGACCTGAACCAAGGTCGTCGATTTCGCCTGTTGTAGCTTCAGTCGGGGGATTACCATCCTTCCGCTGACAGGCTTCCAATCAAAGAGTATATCTGCGAGGTTACGTTCTACCAGAACAGCAGCACCGGTGTGAATGCGCGTCATGATATCGACACTTGAGTAGAATCGCTTCCACTCGCTGAGGTTCCTGAGTCCAGCGCCTTGGCGCTTCGTTGATAACAGTCCAACAATATCGAGTCTATGCTTTCTGGTGTCATAAACTAACTCTTGTTCTTTCCCTCTGAGTGAGGAAATGTTCCAATTTCCGACTTTAAGCTCTGTCGTTCTCGTGGACCCTTTTCTGATGTGCTATAATGATATCGCGCTGTCTGCCTTCTCCGTTCAGAACGGGTAGCGACTCCGTTGCTGACTTGTATCTTCATCTTCGTTCCGTCGTTCTTCGTCAGCCGTTGTTGCGCTGCTACGCTACCGGCTGGCAGAGG